GGTGGTGGTGGTGGTGGCCGTGGCGGTGGCGGTGGCGGTGGATCCTGCTGTAGCTGTTGCTGTTTTTGTTGTTGTTGTTGTTGTTGTGGTTGTTGCAGTGGTGTTGGGTTGTGACCGCGGTGTATCTTGTGGTGGCTGTGGATGTTGTGCGACTTTAGCTTGTTGTGCTTGTTGTCGGTTTCGACGTTGAGGTAGGGGATGTTGTTGTTGATGATGATGATGAAGACGGTTCCGTTGTCGTTGCTACTCTTGCTGTAGCTGCTAAACGCAGGTCTCAGGCTTTAGGCCTTCAGAGACCACGCCTTGTGAGAGTCGAGCTTTCAATTGATGTCCTATAGACTTTAGAGGGTGTAGATTGTGGGTGTAAGGCTTCCCGTGTGGCACAACTTCGGGGTTTCAGAATCTCTGTCACCGGCCTATCTTGCTTCAGGGCATCCCTTGAAGCAACGGTGCCCTGCGGAAAGCCACCAAAACCCAAAAAGCCTGATCAAGACATACCGAAGGCTCTTTGCCTGCAGGGTTCAGGAAGTCTCAAGAAGTCATGCCAAGTACAAAGGCCCAAACCCAAACCCTGAAATCACAGGAAGAGTTGTTTTTGGAGCCCTTAGAGTTTAGGGTTTAGGGTTTGCCTGGACCCCCCCAAAAAATTCCTAATCATGATTTCTTTATGTCTATCCTGAAAAAAGTAGGTTGTTCAGGGTCCAGGTAGTGTTTATGGTCCTAACTCCACCACCCTCAAGCGTCAAATCCTAAACCGGCAGCTTTTGAACAGCAGCGCCAAGCGGCGTCGGTCCGCATCAATCCAAGGGATGTGTGGAGTCAGGTGGATGGCTGCGTGGGCCACTGGATGCCACTCCGATGATTCCTGTCTCATATAGGGGCCGTAATAATTGGAATAGGGTTGGGTGTATATTAATAATACTCAAATTATGTGTATAAACACCCTGTGGAATAATATTGTTAACTGTTCCGAACCCTACATTGCATGTAAGGCGGGGATTGGAATTCGAGACTGGAAACGGGGCTTAGACTTTCTAGGGCTCAAAGGGTTTAGGGTTATTCCGGGCCATGTACGGTACTTGATCCTATATACCCTTTTTTACACTGGCTTGATTGGAGCTCCTATATACCCTAAACCCTAAACCCAAAGAGCCGAGACAGAAGAAAGGTAGTACTACCGACTGAGGAACATGCTCAAGCATCGGCTCGTGGCCGTCGGAGATCTTGACCCCAAACACTTGTGTAGCCATGTCTATCATCGTCATGGGGTGTTCGTTTGGTCTTTCGTACTGCGCCGGGCCCAAGCCTTCAACTCCGAAAAATCACACTGATTGCATCGGTCTGGCCCGCAGCTCTCGGGTCCGCTTTAGCTATCAGGCAGCGCCGTCTGAGCAGAGTACGAAGCCGGCTGCATAAGCCTGAAGCCTGTGGAACCTCGTTTTGGTGACAAAATAACCTAGCGGGTCCATAAAAAACTACTACCTGGACCCCCAAAGTATGTAGAATAATAGCCATTTTTATAGGTTTTGGGCCATTTTTTGAGCTACTTTTGGGGGTTGAAAGGTAGTGTGGAATTGGTCCCCCAAAACCATGACAACAAGGATGGCCTTTTGGGACCAGCTTCTCTTGCCGAATCCAAAAATCATATCCCCTGACAATATAGTACCATATGGTTTCATTGGAATGTATACTGATGTATATACATATATATATATATATATGTGTGTATATATATATATGTATATATACATAAATAAAAATACAAACATATATATATAGAGAGAGAGAGGGATTTTACTAAAACTCGCCCAAAACACGAAAATCCGCGCCAAAAACTTATTGGATCAGTAACTTGAAAGCTACTGATATCAAACCCGCCCGCGCCGCGTGGGCCTTGGCCTTAGGATCTTCGCTGAGGAGCTTGAGCTCCAGGTACTCCTGTTGGCTCTTCAAGGAAATAGACCCATAGGGTTTAGTTTAGGCTTGTTGCGAGGGGTTCAAGGGGCTTTTCAAGGTGCTGTTGCGTGTTTTTTTTGGGGGGGAGAGGTCGTACTCTCCGCATTCCGGCGCCTGTTTTATTGAATCAAAGCCTCTGAAAAATCATCGTACATGAGATCCTCTTAAGCCCTATAACAAAGAGCCTGCCGAGCCGACCTGGCCCTCTGGAGAACCCATGGCCTGAACCGGCTCCTCAGAAAAGCCTATCGTCTCATGTGCCATTGTAGTTGTTTTTCCGAATTACCTTATAGGACCCGACATACAACACTGGTTAGACTTAAACCTAGACAAGGAACTACTAATGGAGAACTACGAAAAACACAGACACCATCTTTCACAGCTTTAGACAGTCCTGGAACATGTCGTCCTCGGCCAGCCTAACTTTCCTGAGCTGGCACAGCATTCAGAAGCAAGTTTTAGGGTTAGGGTTTTGTAGATTCCCAGATGAAAGTTCAGTACTTTCGACGGACAAAAGAATCTCAAAGAGAATCAACATAAGGAGCTCCAAGCCAGCATACTGGGCTTCGAGATGCCTTCAGGCTACGACCTTACGAACAACAGCGGCAAATATCTCTGAACTAATGGGCAGGCATCACCCTGTGCCCGTCCGAAGTCGGGGCAACAGGTGCGAGGCTTGGAGAGCGGGACATACCTACTTCCCCCCCCCCCCCCCCCC